AAACCATTTCAGGTGACTACCTCTTGAAGCTCATGGAGAGAATGCCAAGAGTGTGCAAAGCAGTAATCAGAGCAAAGGGTGGCTATTTTGAAGAAACTAGAATATAAAACATGTTTTCAGTTATTTCACCTTTTTTTGTTAAGTACATAACTCCACATGTGTTCATTCATAGTTTTGATGCCTTCAGTGAGAATCTACAATGTAAATAGTCATGAAAATAAAGAAAACGCATTGAATGAGAAGGTGTGTCCAAACTTTTGGCCTGTACTGTAGGTTATAAAGTAACGACGCATAGTGCGCCCAAGTTCACACCCGTTCTTCTCTATGGATATTCTCCGCGACCATTAGCGAGAAGCCACACATCACGTGAAACAGCGGAACCAGAGCGCAGGAGCAGAGCTTTCCAGTGATCACACATCATTGTGCTGTCATCCCATCACACTATAAATCCATTTCAATTGTCTACAAAATAAAAACCTGACGAATTTCTTTACAAACCATTATACAGATCTTGTTATCAGTCACTTCATATAGTGAGGAATATCTTATCTTACCACGTCTTAGGCTTGCGTGTGTTTCTCCCTGTCTATCCACATTTGTTGTCCTGCTTTCAAGATGCAAATATCTCCATATTGTCCAGCTGACACTCCATCAAACTTTGTATGACATGACCAGCCACTTCACCTTTGCGCACCCAGACAACTGCAGCCTAATTATGCATGCTGACAGGGCCGTAGTCACCATATACATTGAGGGGGACACGTGCCCCCCCACTGCCCAAAATGCCCCCCAATAGGCTATATAACTGAAACTGAAAAACAACAACAAAAAAACGTTCAGGTCAGGTAAAAGAGCAGTGATACTATGTGATGTGTATTGTATTAAGTTGTAGGGTATGCCTGCATTTAATCAGAACACAAAATGAATTTCCACTTAGCTATAATAAAATGTTTTCTCATTAAGACTGACAGTGACTCAGTGAATACCTTACTCAGTTTTATTTGATTAATGGTAAAATAGGTCTCTGTTTACATTCAAAGGTATTTATGTGGGCAAACTGATGAAAAGTAGTCTGTTGATGACCACAGTGGATTGTTCAGTCGTTGTAGAGCCAAATTAATTCAAATTTACCCATTGAATGGGTCGCCTCGGCCATCATCACAACAATTGCCCCCCCTGAGAAATTTGGCAGGAGCCGCCACTGTACAAACTGAATGAAAAAGGGCCAAGAACTGAGCCTTGTGGGACACCACATGACATCAAAGCAGTTGTCATTGTTGACAACTTTGTTGAAGTTGTCAACAATGACTGTGAATTCTCTATTTGACAATTAGGATGCAAACCAGTTAAGAGCAGTTCCCCTTAGACCAACCCAGTTCCTGAGTCTGCTGAGTAATATAGTGAGATCAACTGTTTTAAATGCTGCAGTCAAGTTAAGTAAAATGAGAATGGTATGGTTTCCTGAGTCTGCACTGTCATTTGTTACTCTAACTGTACGTTCACACCAAAAGCTGCCAGAGCTGCAAAGGTGACAGGTCTAATTCATTTTAAATGGACATGTGGCGACTAGAGGTGTTTTGAGCTGTAAAAGCGATGAAATGAAAGTTGAAGACTGGTTAACATTATGCAAATTGGCTATGACGCATTTGAGCTGCAAATGACTAGCAACCAATCGGAATGTAGATGTCCATCGCTTGTGTAGAACCCAGAGAACATCCCCGGAAACTTTTAGTTCCTACCACACATTCGTTCCTACTTCAAAACAAGCAGCAAGCTGTCAAACTGATATGTTTAGCATGAAGTAGCGCTGGAACCTCTCCCCATCCAGCCGCAGCTCCCGCACCAGCCAATGATATTCCCCATGCTGTTCACGGTCTTCTTCCATGTTGAATCGATACAAAAGTGTGGACAAGAGCACGTACTTATACAATTTTTATGTGTTCTGGAACGCTTGTTATTAGCGGGAATGCAATTAATTTGCTCTCCTTACCACCAGTTTAACTAATCGCACTGTAGACACTCGAGCCCAAACCACTGACAGTGTTTCCCCTAGGTTTACAGCTTCTTTTTTTTTTGGGGGGGGGGGGGGTGGGGGGGGGTGTGTGGGGGTGTGGGGGTGTGTGGGGGGGGGGGGGGGGGGGGGGGGGGGGGGGATAACAAATCAAAAAACTTTGCTCATATTTGGTCCGGGTTTGGCCCACTTGACATGCTGCTGTGTTGCGCTGTTATGTATTCAAATGCTGGAATTTGTTATTTCCGTGACAACATCTGAACGCAACACAGTCTGTGTTTAATGTTTAATGTCAGACCTATTTCAACTTTTTATTCTGTTTTCATTGTCCAGACATCAAAGTTTCTGTATTTGGGCAAATGCACAAAATCACATTTCTGTGCTCCAGCCCACTTCGCGGCTCCTTTAAATTGAGAAGCATAACCGAATGTTCAGAATTTGACGTCATGAGCTGCTAGAGCGAATTCAGCTATTTTGCAGCTCTGGCAGCTTTTGGTGTGAACGTACAGTAAGTAGAGCAGTTTCTGTACTGTGATTTTTTTGTAAAGCCAGACTGGAATTAATCAAATATGTTGTTTTCTTCTATTCTTTCTAGATGTTACTGAGCTTTTTCAACATTTCTGAGATCAGCAGTAATTTGGATATAGGACAGTAATTACTGGGCAGTGTAGGATCTAAACCAGATTTCTGAAGGAGAGGCTGGATAAAGGCTTGTTGAAGTAATGTGAGACCTGGCCAGACAAGAAATTCATTAACAATTTTTAGATGCCATGGGGCAATGACTTCAAAAACCTCTTTGGAAAACTTGGAAGGCAGAACATTCAACTTACAGGTACTGAGATTAGTATTTAAACACAATGTCATCCAAATCCTTAAGGTTAATGGGGTAAACTCATCCAACACTGTGATGGAGAGCGAAGGCTGTGATGACAGAGGAGGTAAGCTAGTGGGAGTAACTGATGGTTTGATGTTTTCTATCTTTTCAACAAAGTACTTTAAAAACTTCTCACAATCTTCTACAGATGTGGCAGAAACAGTAGCTTGGGCAGGGCTCACCAGTCTGTTGATAGTGTTAAACAGAGATCTTGAGTATGCTTTTTTGAGATTAGATTGTAGAAATAAGAAAGTCTCTCAGTTTTTATCAGAGAGTTAAACAATAACATTAGTCATCTTTGCAGATTTTATAACATTTATGTTTGGAGGAGCCAAAGCTCTCAGCCCCACACTGGGAGTCAATAAGTCTGATCATTTCTCAGCATAGATGAGAATAACAATCAGGGCAAATGGAGGCAATCCCCTCATAGAAAAAATGCATTTATGAATCGAGTCAAGTCAGGGGAGTCTCAAAACTCCACACACAAATGCAGGGAAGTTTACAAATTAAAAGCACTTTGTAAATGCAGGTTTGACAGTTCATATATCAATGTAACAACCTCCAAATATGTATGATGAAAATTGCAAATACTCTTACATGCGTACATTTGTGAATTTCAATTATAATATTTAAAACAAGAAATATTTTTGTGTGCATCACAAATATGTTTATAAATCTTATTTTTTATATGTGGATTTTCTTCTACTTATATATGGAATGAAACATTTTTGTGTGCATTGAAAATGTGTTTGTGTTTTGAGTCATTATATATATTAAGTCATTTATATATATATATATATATATATATATTTATATATATATGTATATAAATCCCCAAATACATCTGTGAATCCTTTCTTTGTGCATTTATTAATTTCTGTGTGCATTTATTCATTTTGAGACTGTTCGAGCTCCATACAAATGTTCCCTAGTTGTAATCAAAATTAGAAAATGCCTCCATCTTCTCTATTATTTAGTGTAGTATATTCAGGAGTAGTTTGTTTAGTAGCAGGATGTTGTCAGAACTGTCTCCTCAGGAGCAGCTGCAGGTTTGCAGGATGCAGGACAAAGAGCCCAGAGGCTGCGCTGATGAAAAACGGTACATAGTTACATTGATAGGTGTTTCCATTATTTTGTCCATCCCTGTGTACACCATCAATAGGCCACATTGTATCGTGCTTTAGTCGTTGTACAGTGATCCCTCCATCAACACATGGCAGTCAGAATTTATCGAGCGGCAGCCAATCAGAGCGCTTCTTTTAGGGCGAGCCTCCGCCGCGCTCAGCCAATCAGAGACGCGGAATAGGACCCGTGCCTCCGAGTTGTGCAGCAATGCTGTCACGTGACGCTGGGAAAAGGAATGCCAACATGGACCCGTGGCAAGGACGGGATGTGAGTGTGCTACGACAATAACACGACGGAGGAAAAGAGAGAACAGGAGAACACTAGAGCCATCGACGGCGCCGCATCTCCTTACCGAGCCTCCTCCGAACTACACACGGTAGGTCAAGCCGAATGTCCGGGATGGTCGCGCTCGGTTCATCCGGAGACACGTAGGAGTATAAATAGAACAAATTTTGACCCAGCCGAACTTGAGACTCGTGGATTCCTCTGCGGGCGCAGTCGCATTCGGGCGGATTGCGATGTTGCCGACCGCTTCTGCTTTACAAATAGCCCGAGCACATTTTTTTCTGCTTTCGAGCGAACCCCGAGCAACACGGTCCGTTTTCCTCGCCACACGGTAATGGGCGCGTCAGTGCGGGCCGTGTTTACCCAGCGCCTTGTTCGTGCATTGTGTAAAGTATGAGGCCCTGCTGCAACATGTGCCTGACCGTCTGACAGACACAACAAACAGCCTGCACACAGGCTAACGGGCACTTTGTCACCGCTGTAAGTCTGTCCGTTCGGACTCTGTTTTAAATAGAATGTCTGCAACAAGGTAGGGGTCAGATACACTGTAACTACAGATCCATTTTTAATAAACTTGGAATTTGCATAATCAAAGAATTTTCCATTTCATTTCTCATATCCTGTTAATACAATGCTGCCTCACTTTGTGTGCATATAAATATAGTCAGACCAGTGCTAGAAAATTTTAAAGTTTATTGTGGCCCACAGGTGAAGATGGCCTTGAAAAAATAAAGGTAATTGTAGAAGGTTTAGGAATATTCCTTCCCTATATTTGATAACAACTTTTAAAGATGGGATATTTTATGTCAAATCTAATGCACAAACCACCATTAAAACCTGCACAGCTTTTTCATTTTGTCTTAGTTACATATTGTTCATACTTTTTAATTTGTGACACACGATAATATCAGTGGATCATACAGTACAGGCCAAAAGTTTGGACACACCTTCTCATTCAATGCGTTTTCTTTATTTTCATGACTATTTACATTGTAGATTCTCACTGAAGGCATCAAAACTATGAATGAACACATGTGGAGTTATGTACTTAACAAAAAAAGGTGAAATAACTGAAAACATGTTTTATATTCTAGTTTCTTCAAAATAGCCACCCTTTGCTCTGATTACTGCTTTGCACACTCTTGGCATTCTCTCCATGAGCTTCAAGAGGTAGTCACCTGAAATGGTTTCCACTTCACAGGTGTGCCTTATCAGGGTTAATTAGTGGAATTTCTTGCTTTATCAATGGGGTTGGGACCATCAGTTGTGTTGTGCAGAAGTCAGGTTAATACACAGCTGACAGCCCTATTGGACAACTGTTAAAATTCATATTATGTCAAGAACCAATCAGCTAACTAAAGAAAAACGAGTAAGAAATGAAGGTCAGTCAGTCCGGAAAATTGCAAAAACTTTAAATGTGTCCCCAAGTGGAGTCGCAAAAACCATCAAGCGCTACAACGAAACTGGCACACATGAGGACCGACCCAGGAAAGGAAGACCAAGAGTCACCTCTGCTTCTGAGGATAAGTTCATCCGAGTCACCAGCCTCAGAAATGGCAAGTTAACAGCAGCTCAGATCAGAGACCAGATGAATGCCACACAGAGTTCTAGCAGCAGACCCATCTCTAGAACAACTGTTAAGAGGAGACTGTGCCAATCAGGCCTTCATGGTCCAAGAAACACAAGGAATGGACATTAGACCAGTGGAAATCTGTGCTTTGGTCTGATGAGTCCAAATTTGAGATCTTTGGTTCCAACCGCCGTGTCTTTGTGAGACGCAGGAAAAGGTGAACGGATGGATTCCACATGCCTGGTTCCCACTGTGAAGCATGGAGGAGGAGGTGTGATGGTGTGGGGGTGTTTTGCTGGTGACACTGTTGGGGATTTATTCAAAATTGAAGGCACACTGAACCAGCATGGCTACCACAGCATCCTGCAGCGACATGTCATCCCATCCGGTTTGCGTTTAGTTGGACGATCATTTATTTTTCAACAGGACAATGACCCCAAACACACCTCCAGGCTGTGTAAAGGCTATTTGACCAAGAAGGAGAGTGATGGAGTGCTGCGGCAGATGACCTGGCCTCCACAGTCACCGGACCTGAACCCAGTCGAGATGGTTTGGGGTGAGCTGGACCGCAGAGTGAAGGCAAAGGGGCCAACAAGTGCTAAACACCTCTGGGAACTCCTTCAAGACTGTTGGAAAACCATTTCAGGTGACTACCTCTTGAAGCTCATGGAGAGAATGCCAAGAGTGTGCAAAGCAGTAATCAGAGCAAAGGGTGGCTATTTTGAAGAAACTAGAATATAAAACATGTTTTCAGTTATTTCACCTTTTTTTGTTAAGTACATAACTCCACATGTGTTCATTCATAGTTTTGATGCCTTCAGTGAGAATCTACAATGTAAATAGTCATGAAAATAAAGAAAACGCATTGAATGAGAAGGTGTGTCCAAACTTTTGGCCTGTACTGTAGGTATTGGCCTATATTGGCTTTAAAATGAACTACCAGAAACAGCCAACATGCTTTTTCTTATTTTGCACTATGAATGAATATTACATACATTTAAAAGCTTTCTATTTCATGTGTCCATCTGCTGGTGGCCCATCATGATCAGAGTATGCATGCATAATATCATGTTAATTCCACTACAGAGACTTGATGGTCACTAAAATTAGGTGGGGAAAAAGTGGATATATCAATATCGGTATCGGTTATAGGCCTAATAATTTGTTATATATTGGCATATGGCCAACACATCCAATATTGTGCATCCCTAATTTTGATAGTATTTTAATAGTTTTTAAATAGAATTTTATTTTATTCTGTACTTACTAGGTCTGTCAAATGATAAATTTGTTTAATCCCAATTAATTGCTGAATTTCAATAGTTAGCCTAATCGCAATTAATCACATTTTCAGTCACTTTCACTATTTTGCATTTAAAAACAGTTTTAAAGTCCATTTTAACAAGGTAAAGTAACTCTAGTGTCTTGACTGGGGATTAATTGAAATCAATGAAATGTATTTTATGATGTTGACTTGTAGATTTATTTCTTTCAGATCAGTGCTGCACTGCTAAAACAGTGTGGTCCTGAAACCATGTCAACATGCCAACATGAAGACGTCCCTCAGACCCAGGTGTTCCACAATGTTGACTGGTCTCCAGTCAGATTCCAGCCATTTAGCAGCGCTGTAGTTAACATCTTCGATTTAGTTTCATCCACAGGTCTGAGCAGATTTGGACACTCCAAAATGGTACTCTGACATCTTTGGTGATGCAGTTGCCCACTGACATCTGTGGCTGCATCTGTGTGCTCAGCAAACTCTAAATACTTTGATGATATTTTAATTCCATTTGAATTAAGGTGCATATTACTTTACTCTTGTCAACTAAGCTGTTTGGGAGTGAAAGGGGCCATTCAAAAGCACTGGTATTTTTCATTACTGTGGTAGCAGAAAGCTGCTCCAGCAGCTTGACTAAAAGTAAGGGTCCATCGAAGGGACAAATTAGCAGTACACAATAAACGCTATTTAAAAAAAACACACCCTTTTTAATTGTATTTTAATTGCATCATAATTAATGCATTAATGCTAAAAATAAAATAAAAAAATAAATCATACTGTGCTAATAAGTTGTCACAGAGAAAGAATATATGATTAACTCAATTCTGACAATTTTCAGATAGGACCTTATAATTCTACGGTGACGATAAATCAATTGCTTTGTGGAGCAGACGTTGCAGAAGACTTAATGTGAACTCAGAGCTGATGGGGTACATAAACGTGGCTCAGGAGGGGCCCAGCAGCAAACTTTTGCCACGGGGCCCCCAAACAAGTACATTTATCTCACGTTTTTTTTTTTTTGTTTGTTTGTTTTTTTTGCATGCGTGAAGAGTTGGTTTTGTAACATATAACAGCAAAACACTGTTAACTGCATTGAGCATCGACATGGTAATTTTGTATGTGATTGTCAACACTTGCTGTATTATAATTGCATTGTATGTGTATTGCCCAAGTTGTAATTTCAACCATATCACCTAGCCCTTGTTTATACTTTAAACTTTATTGTCTATCAAAGTAGAACATTGTGTTTTGCGCATCTGGCAAGTAATAAAATACAATGTACAAAAATTAGGTAGCAAAAAATGAGATTAAAATTATGTCTGTAAGAAACTAGTCAATCAGCGGCCTGTGGAATAAATGATTTCTTAAATATGTTCTTTGTAACCAAAGGTAATGTTAATGTGTAAAAGTCAGGTGGTGATGTAAATAGCTCTTCATTCACCTTTTAACTTTTTGCTGAGTAATAAAATCCAATCTCACTGTTTCCTTTGCAGGTTTTTTTTGTTATCCCACTCCTGGATAGTGTTTCCTCAACATCCTCTCCTGTGTGTTTGGCCTGGATCAATGGTGTCTCTCAGCAGCAGAACGCTGATTTTGGAGAATGACCTGTTTAGGGATAGCAGCAGCCTATTCTCCCTTGGCCTAGGAGATGGCGTCCACAGCGAAGGGGGCAGTTCAGCCTCCTGCAACAGCCCCGAAACTGGGGAGGTGGGGGCTGTGCACAGCTCTAGCCCTGGAGAGGAGGAAGAGGAGGATGAAGAAGAAGATGAGGAGACGAGTCTGCATATTTTTTTAGGAACAGAGGGAGAAGAGGAGCCTGCGAGTCAGGATCCTAAACTGCCAGAATTCCCTTTCCATCCCTCTTCCCCGTTCTCCCCGACCCTGGAGGACATAGAGGAGTTCTTGAGGGAAAAAATGGAACTGGTCAAAGAGGGGCTGCTGACTCCAAAAGAAGAGGCCTCCCCTCTTCCATGCAGTGAATCTCCATCCTCCACTGCACCCCCGGCTGCTTCCTTAGAGACTTGCAGTGACATAGGGACTAGTGCCTCTCACTGCACTTCAAGCTCAAACACCCCTCAGAAAGATCAAAAGAGCCACAGCCCAGCTGACCTTTATCCTTCTGGCCAAATGAACTCCCCACCCTCCACCTTAACCTCACCAGTGCTCCTGGGGGGTCCACTGGTTCTCCAGCTCCAGCCCCTACCTCTGGCCCAGCCCTCGGCCTCAGCAGGCTCTTCACCTGGGGCGCCAAGTGGCATTTGGCTCACTCATGTGGTCATGGGGCTCCAGGGTGCAACAGGACAAAATGTCACCCTGCTGGCCCCACAGGTGCCCTCCACCCCCACCACCCTGTTATCACTAAACAGTGGAGATACCAAGTCAGCTGATCAGAAGTACGTGAAGATCGCCCCTCTGCCCATCACTATGAGGACTCTAGAGATCACAGGCATGACTGGGGTTGGGGGCCAGGGCAATGGTCTGCTTAAGGCCGTGGCCCCCCGGATGACCAGACTGCCACCTACAGAGAGGGTCCATAAGTGCTCCCACCCAGGCTGTGGGAAGATGTACACCAAAAGCAGCCATCTGAAAGCTCACTTCCGCCGGCATACAGGAGAGAAGCCCTACACATGTAGCTGGCCTGAGTGTGGATGGAGGTATGTGGCATGATGTATTCTGTAGTAGCATTAACCCTTTATAGGGTTGAAATACTTTGAAATTCAAAATTTCAACCCTAGAGTGTTATTGGAGGACATAACAAGACTTTTTTGCTTTTGTGACATTTTTTTAAAATTTTTCATTTTCATGTTGAAAATCAAGGTCAACGAAGTTACATATTTGGTTCCTTGCCCTAAAGTGGTAAAAAAAAATTCAAGAAGTGTATATATAAAAAATACAAGAAATACACATATAAGGTGAAATTAACATGTGTTGTAAAACATTAAAACATAATTTTTAGAATATTACAACATTTGTGCTGATTCAGGCACCTGTCAACATACACATTATCACTTTGGAGGCAGGCCACTTCTTCATGATAAAGCAGTTACGCTCACTGTTCATGCAGTGGTGGACCTTGCAGACCCTTCAGGCCACATTTGACCCGAGAATGTTGCTTATCCTGCTGCAGTACTTGCAGCCTCATTTGGGGTGTGGCTGCGGTGACAGACTTAGGGACATCAGCACTGGTGGTCAGGCTCCTCATCATCATCACTGATGGCAGGGTGGGCTGGCACGACAACAGTCTCCCTCCTCTTGACATGAAATATCCGAGCAGGCACTTGCTAAAAATTAAACACATGCAATAAAACAACTGTTATAAGGTGGTGCATTTGCAAAATAAATGTTTTGAAGGAGCAGCAGCGGCGCTGCTAAATGAATGTAGCGGAAACACTGGGTATATGTTCAAATATCGACATTCCATATTAACTCTAGTTTTTAGGTGAACAGGGCGTATGATCAAATATGGTGCCCCCATTTTTCATGCCATAATTTTACTCATTTCACTAAGTCCTCCACAAACAACACATATTTAATCACTTAGCACAATTATTCAACCATAAAATGTGTGAGTTTCATCAACTTACCATGGTTAGTTTTGATGTTTTGACCATAATTGCAGAGGGACTTCAGAAAAAACAGCAAGTTGGATGTGGTCCAGGTCTCTGCTGATTTGTCAAATGCCACAATCGCATGTTCTGTGATGTAGGTTAATCTTTGCTGATTGGCTGGGTGAAGACCACATGCTACTTGACCTCACTGAGGCACGGGATGGGCTCCATATGTAATGTGTGCGGAAATTACCAAATATAGTTCCTCACCCTATAAAGTAAATATGAAGTGTAAGACTAACACGCAATTTATGGTTGTGCGTAGACCCTACGTACGTAGCCTATGCACGTCGCCTTTGATGTTGTGAGCATTTTTACTTCTGAGGTGGTGTGTCTGTGTCACTCTGCAGTTACACCCCCAAAATGCTAGATGGCAGTGTAGGTTTCTGTTAAGTGCTATGAAGTTTAGTTGATTCAAAACAGGTAACACTTTACAATAAGGTACACAAAATTAAAGTAGTTACTGAGGAACTAATGAGTAACTAATGAGGAACGAATGAGGAACGAATGAGTAACTAATGAGGAACTAATGAGGAACAAATGAGTAGTTACTGAGGAACTAAGCTACACAAAATTAGAGTAGTTACTGGGGAGCTAATGAGGAACTAATGAGGAACTAATGAGTAGTTACTGAGGAACTACGGTACACAAAATTAGAGTAGTTACTGATGAACTAATGAGGAAC